TGATTGATTTTAAGAAACTTTATCTATAAGATTTATTATAATAGCGGTTCCGCTTGCGTTTGATTAAATATCGACGAATTTTTGTTGCACCATGGCTTAAAAAGACTGTAATTTTGTATGAAATAAAACTGTCTTAATCAAAAAATATAGCCTGTCATACTCTAGTTTGTTATCTCTTGTTAGGTAGGTATATATTGCCAAGTTTAATCAAAATTCTTATCGTTATACATTGAAGTAATATGTACTTACGTACTAGAACAGCTATCTCAAACAAAAAAATGTGCGCTACTCTGTGTTCGCGCGGTTGTTTTTTTATCATAGAATAAACATAGGTAGAATGATCCGTAGGTAATAGTAGATTGTATTGTTAAATAGGTAAATTATATCGAGAACAATATTTAAATTTTGTCATTTATATTGTATATTATATTTGCATATTTATAATATTACATAATATTATATCACAATTACATTTTAATGATATTTTTATCTGAATATTTTAAAAGGTATCCATGTCAAATATGAAAAAAAAAAACATACTAAATGTATGTTTAACAAAACTTATCAACATAACATTTATATTACAAATATATTTATTTAAATTAGAATAAGAGTCGTTCATAAATGCTGGGCACGCGAAAGTTAAAAATGGACGAATTTATTCCACTTTTACTTTGATGTGGAAACCTAAAAATAAAATAAAAGAATAATAAGCAGATTTAAACATGAAAAATTTAGCCTAATTATAGTAACTTATATATGTTTCTACAAAAAAAAAATGTGTATGTTAATATATTCGTCCTATACTTAAGTACCCACAGAAATGTCGCATCTGAACATATTAATTTCATAATCTATATTCCATGAACACGAGATCGCGTCTTAGGAATAATTTGATTTATTATTAGTCTATAATACTTTTTTATTGATTAAGTATCTTATTAACCGATGAAAAGTAATTCCTTGGTTTTTACTGACATTTCTTGAATTATTTGTGCTATATCTAAGTACACACGACGGCATATTTTTATCAAGAGATTTTTTTTAAATCAACACAACACGTGACAACTCTACAAGCGCCTAGCGAGTGACTGATTAAAGTGAGGTGTACGCACCGCAGTTGAGTGGAACAGAGTAGCTGAATGCAGTGTCGCCTCTAGTACGTAGTACATAATAGCTCAATGTCGTTATATTTACTTGATATAGCCACAAACATACAAAAATCCATAACAAACTGTTGGATTTATATCGTTAGGAGGATAGTACTACAAGTGAACTATTTCTATCTATTTTTACGTTCAAGTTTAAGATACGCTTTTACCACCTAGGGACATAATTGGAACGCATCGTTTTCACTAAAGGGTTATAACCCATTACACGCCTATCAATCGTGGCAACTAGGGAAATTATGCCTCATATGAGGCATTCAATGGGAGTCCTGTATTTATCTGGCATATATTTAGCAGGAACTAACTAACTAAACTATTTCTTTAATTGCATCGCCGTTTATCGAAATTCATGACATTTACATAGTAAGCTTTTATGCGACGAAATGCTTTTTATTACGATGTGGTTATGCATGGAGGAAATTTCTAAGGCACTGTGGCGGATAGCCACCTATCAAGATGGTGTGCATGGAATTAAGAGACGTGTCAAAGTCATTTAGGGAATATTAGCTCTTGAAATTAATCTGATATATGAGATATAAAAACATGTAGCGTCTCGCAAAACCAGTGGATCAAATTAATCGCAAATAGCTTGTCCGTCGACAACTTAAGCCGCTCCTTATTCAATGTCGTCAAATAAACTGGTATGGTATTGGAGTGCCCGGCTCAATGACGAGAATAGTTTACATCTCACCTTACGGTAAGTGACTACTGACGTTCATGAACAACTGCAACAGTAGGGGAATTGTAGGTGCGTTGCCGGCCTTTTAGAAAGCGTAGGTTCTTTACTTCATGGTCTCAATTTCGTATCGGATCGAAAAAAAATCGTCGATAGCGAGGAAGAAAATTTCTGCTAAATTGCATAGTGGTGGATTTTATCGCGATGTGAAATTCAATCGCAAGCACATAGCCAGCACGGAACAATGTCCTGCACTGCTCAGCACGTCAAGCCTCTTAGAGAGATGTGCCTTCCCTACCAGGTGTCCGCGATAACGCTGAAAATTTCAATGTTTGAATTGAATGAATGCTTTGATATTTGACCATAGAATGAGAATTTTATAACGATTTTGAATTCACTTTTGTTTAGCAATTAGACCCTTTTTGTGCGAAATTTTAGAAATTTATAGGCTTCCACATTAGTATTCCATTCGCTGTTTTATCAAAGCGTGAGAAAGTTCTCAAAGTTAAACTCAAACCTGTAGAACCGAGACCTCATTACTCATTTAAATATAAGGTAATTACAGTTTACGTCTTTAATAAAATTGTTCTTTGTCAGGTAGCAAACGATTTTCTACATTAGAAAGTTTTGTGTGAATAACTAATGAAGTAATTTTGCTTTTGAGGAATAAGTTCTTCACAGTGTAAAAGATCATTTTTAAAGAATAAACTTGAAAAAATATCGAGGGTTTACTGGTAGAACCACTTATATGCAATTTTTGGGGAAATTAGTTAAACATACACTTCGACTCAGATTATTTGTCTCAATTTTCTGATAAAATCTACTTTTTGATATGACCATTATCTACGGAAATATTTCATGTCAATACCTTGCATCAGCATGGTAGGGTTAAAAATATCAAGGTAAAACAGTTTTAGTACTCATATTACACTAACACTTTCACTTTACATCACCTCATATTAATCGTAAGTTCCAAAATGCTTACTTGGTGAAACAGCGATGGACTTTTAATTATTTTTTTTACTAGAAACCGATCACAAAATGTTATTTACCGTTTTTCGACAAGAAAAACAGAATAAGTGCACATGAACATGGAAAATTTTCTTACCTACAGGTAGACTGTGCTCGTTTGTAGGCCTTATTCTATAAAAAAGAGTCAAGTTTTTTGTGTCGTTTTATTCCATTTTCTCAGAAAATACATAAAACCTTTGGTTTTGTGCCTGATCTCTCTCCGGTTACGTTGGTTTGTCGCCCATAAGACTATGAGAATAAAAAAATTGAGAGTGCAACTGTGGTTGCGCACACGCAGCATAATCCTGATCCAGTCTCCGTTGAGACTGGGCGTCGTGACCAAAATGTATGATGTGGAAATTTTTTAATTCTTCTTAACTTTGGAGTCGGTAACTAGAATGTAGTTTATATATTTACAATTAAAACTTCATCCCCTACTTTTCCTCTCTTAGAGGTGGAATTTTTTCATCAAATCTAATTGGAACTAATGTTGAGGTATATTCTTTTAATGTGTTTAAAAATAATATAGAACCTCCATATTTTTGCAGTCGGTTAATAATAATTAGACAATTATATATAGATAACTAGTTTTTGTTTGCATATAACGCGTCATGAAACAATATTCTACTTAGATTAAAATTCAATTTATTTGATTAAATCAAATCTTATTAACACGCCTATTTATCCGCTATGAAAGTTAAGTTTGTTAATCATAGTCTATTAATTTTTGAACCAACTGAAAACAGATTGAATTATAACTATGTTTTCAACTTCTTATTAGCCTTTATAATCTACTGTAGAAAAGAGTCTTTTTCAGGATTGCGTCGAATAATGAAATTCATTCAGGATTTGTTTTATATAAGAGGATTTTCTTAGGAAAATTTAACACCGCTTATTCGCTGTAGTTTATCTGATAAAAAAATAATATCGTACTTGTTATATCGGCTGTTGATTGGTCGGTTGTTGTATCGGCTTTGACAAATAATTTAACGGTGGGAGGAACTCTACTCCATGTCGTCCCATGGGTGTCTTAAGAAGAAAACTGTGCAAAAGATGGGCCGCAGCATCTTCCTGATAATCATAAAGTGATATCGAAAACTGCGGTTACCAACCTGCCTGCTATATGAGGCGACTATGGTAAGATCCCCTCATGATATTTTTTTAACGTGGCATAGCTACGCTGCAGCTAATTCATTTGTCAAATAATCACCATTGATTTGTTGACAGAAAAACTATTTAAATTAAATGAATTATTTTGTTTTGCAGAAAGATTAAAATTGACAGTTAAAAAAGTGTTTTTGTCTATACATGGTAGAGCCACGCTGTAGCTACATTACGGTTATAGCACGAATGGGTCGACTCGACCGGGAAAAGACCACGCTCTTACAGAATACCAGCGTAAAATAGCAGATTAATACTGCTGTTTTTTTCATACAGTGCGTGTAGAGATCCGGAGACCCTTTTTTACTGGAAACGAAGCATTCTATCTTAGTCCTCAGGGGTGACAATGCATCTGCGTTTCGATTCTTAATCGAGGATAAATGTAGATATCTAAGGACCACAGCATCTACTTTCTCTGTTGGACTGTGTGCTCATTTGCCACCCATATTCTATAAAAAACTAACAGTTTTTTAAACGCAGTTAAAATTATAGATTTGAGCGAAGTTAAGCCTCATTACGAATGACATACCTTATTATTTAGCACCTACATACGTAACTTTTCTTGTTAGTTACTTCACTTTGAAAATTGTGTAGATTACAACTTGTAGATAGAAATTGTTTTAACTTACCTCACGTTAACTGAGTATTCACTAGAGTTCAATTCGACACATAAAGCCAATATGAAAAATTACGACATTTTAAGATTATTCTGCCAAAAAATTTATTTTGTTGGTTCCGGAAATTTTTGGTATGAAAAAGGAATTGGTGACGACAATAGTTTATTTTATATGACTTACAGCACTATTTTATTCCTTATGTATGGATCTATGACGCTGCTTGAAATTGTAGCCGCTTTAATAGGAGCATTTCCAGAAGATGAAAAACATGACTCAATAGCATTTGCAGTAAGCCATACTGTTGTAATGATAAAGATATTTTCGGTTATTTTAAATAAACGAAAGATTAGAAATTTGAATTTTGATATGGTACATGTTTGTAAGGACTATGAGGAGAAGTCTTTACAGGAGGAAAAATATCGTATTATAAAAATTAACGTTATTGCATACTTCGTTACCGTCTACGGTTCAGCGATCTGTTTTATCGGAGAAGGTTTAAGGAAAATGTTCGAAGGTAAGTGAAATACATAAGTTGATTAAGCAATATTTTCAATACATATTTACCCAGTGTCTTTTTTATAGGCAATATGCAATTGATATTGATATCCATATATTTAACTTTCTGTAAAACTGAAACCTCGTTGAATTTTTATTTCAATAGATTCTGTAGTTTTAAACGAAAATTGAATTTAAAACTAGGCACTAAATGGAAAGTTGACTTAGAAACCTAGTCGCATCCACACTAATTTTTTATTTGAATTCTAGGATCTCATTTTGTCACCGTAGTGACTTATTATCCTTCATTTGAAGATGATTCTTTTCAAGCAGCACTTTTTAGGATTTATAACACTATCGTGCTATTTATGATGCTCATGACAATGATAATGTCGGTTGATACGTTTACTATGGTAAATCTTATAATGTTTAAATACAAGATAATTACATTACGAAAATATTTTGAAAAACTAAACGATGATTTCAATAAGATTAATGAAACTGGTGACACAAGATTGGCTGCAGAAACCTTAAAAAATGGTCTAATTGAAGGTTTTAAAATGCATGTTGAGTTGGTAAGGTAAGAATTGTGTATATATATATATTTAATGCCTATATGTCTGTTAATCACTACATCTCATTAACACCACAAAATATTATCGCCCTGCATCTATTAAGGGTCTACCCTAAACTGCTCTTATAAATACGAACCTGCTCTCGTGCACCGGACTTACCATCTGTTGTCTGTTTGGGAACCATATATGGCCGGTTCATTACCACTATGCCAAATGACTGATCTTAATGATCAATAAAGTCCTCTTGTCTTTTCTGTGGAGATAAGGGAGATATTAGTTCACCGCGCTACTTCAGTGCGTGTTCATGGACATGGCATTCCCTTGAAATATTTCCTTTCGCAGGCATGCTGGTTACCTCGCAGGTAGCTTAGACGGAAGAGCTTAGGACTTAGAGCTTATAGTAAATTTCTGATAACTGTGTCTTTGTTAATTTCAAATAGTCGGTAATAAAACCCGTTTAAATTTTTAGAAACCATATTAATCTTTATAGCAAGTACTAAAATGAATGAAATTAAATAATTTTGCTTATAATGCAGATTTTTGCTTTATAATTTGCGGAAAGACTAATTCAAATTAACTCATATATAATATTAGTTACGTTTTTATGTAGTATGTATGTAATTTATCCTTATTTATAATGAACACAGTAAGTAAGGGTGATAAACGAACACATAATGGTGATTGGATACAGTGCTCTGTAGACATCTTAATCTATCTTCTATTAAGTATCAAAATGCAGGTGTGTTTTTACACTTGTATACTAAGACGAAATGTCTCATTTATTTTTCTCTTATCGCCTCGTACCTGTATAGTACAGTAAAAGTTAAAGTAAAGTCACAGCCTATATACGTCCCACTGCTGGGCACAGGCCTCCCCCTCATTTCTGAGAGGGTTTTAAGGGCAAAGAAGTGTCCGCCACGCTGCTCCAATGCGTGTTGGCGAACTTCACATGTCTTCGAAATATTTTTTTTCCCTTATTTCTCAGACATGCAGGTTTCCTTACGATGTTTTCCTTCACCGCCGAGCACGTGGTAAATCAGCACTTAAAATTGCAATTAACAATTTCATTGGTGCCGGCGGGGATCGAACCCGGGTTACTCGCGTTCTGTTATATTTACTGCGAGCGTTAACCATCTGAGCTACCACGGCTCTCACGGTACAGTACAGTGCTTCGTGTTAATTGATGATCGTAGTTTTGGTGACGGCTTGTCAGCTATATACCATATACAAACGCTGAACACAAACTTAGGAGACAGGTAATGGGGAGCAGTATTTCCTACCAATGCCCTCACATATCGGATTTGCACTCAACAATCCATTTGTGCAGTGTGGTGACCATAGGCAAGTAGGTCATGTAATGCTTGGGCAGCAGTAAAGATGGCATATTCTTTGAAAGGTCTATGTACTTACTATAGATTTAATAAGACTTTTAATACTTGATTTGATGTTTAAATATGGTATTTTATTAAAACATTTAGCTCGTATTCCAGAATTTTAAAGGTTATAGATGAAGCATTTGGGATTGTGATGGCGTTGCAATTATGTCAAAGTTCCGGTTCAGCTGTGTCCCTGCTACTCCAGATCGCAGTAATTATTATATTTTCATTTAAAATTAATTGTAAATGTAGTAACAAGATAATCAATGTTCAAACTATTTTATTATAATAACATCGTTTCAACAATATTAACGTTCAAATAAAACTTAAACAAATAAAGCATTGGCCATGAGCCGTGATGATGCTAGTAAGAGAACTAGATTATAGCCTTGAAGTTATTGTATTATCAAGGGTTCTTAATACGTCTGCACAATTTCAGGTTTATATTTACACATACATATATACATACACACATACATACATACATACAGTGAGAGGAATAGAAGCATGATCAAAAGACCACAGTAGAAAAGGAAAGCGTGATCTCAAATAATAAATAGTTTTTTAAAAAATTCAAAGTAGATTATAAATGATACTTATTGACAGACACTCTTACCAGCCAGTGGTAGGCTCGGAAAATACCTCTGTTTTGGGAAGAACCTGCAACAAACATTTAACGTGTTACACAATATTTTTTAAAGAAAAAACAAATTAACAACAAAAAACAAATAAGAAATAACTTGGTAGCGATCATCTTATTTTTATTTCTTGCCAGGGGTTATCAGGTGTTATCCATAAATTTCTTAATATTGTTTAAGAGATAAATGTTTAAGAAAGTTTTTAAACTTGGCAATACATTATATACAATACAATTTAAATTAAAATTATGATAAAATGAATTTTCAAGTTTTATGTTTATTTTTTGTTTCAGTTACCCAAGAGTTTATTATTTGTTACAATTAATTATAAAATTTCAATTTATTCTTATGGGGATATTTTTATTGTTTGCTTGAAAAAATTTTCATTTTCGTAATAAATATAATCCAATAAATGGACAAAACCCAACCCAACGGAACGACCCTCGGCAGGGAAGACCAAACGGCTGAGAGTTAGAGGGAAAGGTAAAAAAGTGACATGCTGTGGTATTGAAAAGCACCAACTTCTGGAATTGAGCCAGGAGCGGTTCGTTACGTAGCACCAGTATCCTCGGATAACCCGAGAACCTGGCAAGGATTATGAACCCGTTTGCAGGAATGACTACAATAGGAATAATTTTGGCCAGCACAGCACCACAAATGTCGATCACCTCGTGAGCCAAGTCCAGATATTTTGTTCGTTTATATGCTTCGGCTTTAACGAGATTCTCGTTATATAAAATGGTAATGTCGACCAAAAATATTCCTAACTATGCCCGGTCCGTCAGCATATTATCACGATTATACCCAAGAATAGTACTGTCTGTGATCATAGGCTGGTCCCATTAGAGTCTTGCGCGATCAGTTTCGAGCGAGTACTTATATTAATGTGGTTTCCGGTCCAGAAAACCGTACGTCAGAGGGAACAACGGAGATGAAATACCTAAGGGTCTCACGGATATTGCGACAATCTCGACAGATGTCGACAGTGCTATCTTCAGTGGGATGTCATAATAGTGCGGACATATCTATTCAAGGTGTTAATTCGGTTTGGGTCCATCTGAGTATGCTAAAGTTACATATGAGGACAGACAGGACCCAACCGTTATATGCGACTGCCTAAGTCACGCCCGATAAAAGTCTGTTAAGCACTTTTGTTAATCATGCATAAAATAGATCACAAATTAATGGTTTCGTTATTGATTCGGTATGTTTTAGCCTCGGAAAAGGTCTTTATGTTGACGGGCATAGGTAAGTTTATGCTTTGTGAATTAGGAACCCTACATTAATTTACCTTTTCAACATCGACCACATATTTATCCGTCTCCAGCTCCATTCTAATAGAATTTCTAAAATCATAAGTTTGATTTAGCAATTATACGAGATGGGAGCGACTGGAAGCGAACAACTTGAGGGATTCATGGAGAAATGGTGGGTCACTTTCATACCTTTTTTTTGAAGTCGAAATCCCCTTCCAGTTCCCTGAACTAAGTGCTGCGAGGGTTCAGAGAGAGGCAGAACTAGATCGTACTCAGAAAATCACCCGGAAAGAATCACCTACGTACCCTTATCCGGTCTACCGCATCCGTCATCCGTTTGTTACGAAAATGTATTGTTTTGTAACCGTTAAATTAACAGTAAAAATAATGCGAAATTTCTTTCTCTTCTTTTTTGCTAAAAGGAAATTGATTTAAAAAAATGACGTTTCAAAAAGTGAAATTTAATTTTCTTCAATTGTCTTCAACTTCAAGAAATGCAACAAAACACACTCCTGAGTCACCTGCATTTGTAATAATATTGATTAATTCCTCGCAAGTCGCAAAAATTAAGATATTTTCAATAAATTTCAAAAGAAGTCTTTACATTAGCCGCTGATTGCATGTTTCGCTAATGGCTCGTATTAGCCACTGAAGCCTTAATAAAAAGTATAAAATAGTTTTTTAAACACTGTACTGATGAATTTATTGTTTTATTTTTACAGCTATCCGAAAAATTAACATTTGTAGCAAATTTGAAAATAATTTTCTTCGTTTTTGCCCTCTTCTTCTTGTTAGGACTGTTCCTATGTAATGCGGGAGAAATAACATACCAGGTAAAGTATTTATCATTATTAAGGAACATGTTATTTATTGGAGTAACAACATAGTGGAAGTAAAAGTGAAGTCAAAGTTTTAGCCTATACAAACGTGCCACTGTTGTGCAAGTTGTACCCATAACTTCATTCAGCCTCGCGGCTCTAGTGCGTGTTATTGGACTTCACATCTCGTTGAAATATTGCATGCCATAAGCGCCTAAAAATCAAGAATCCAAGATTTTGTCGCATGAAATCGTAATATTGAACATATATATGATATAACAAGCGCATTGTCAGAAAGGTGAATGATTGACATTGATTTGTACATGATATAAAAAACACATTTCAGAAAGATGAATGATTGTTGAACTTATTATTATTATTTATAAATCGATCAATTGCTATTTTTACATTAAAAAAGTGAATTTAGTGGCTTATGGTGTAGATTTATCAAGTCCGCTTGGAGGGGTAAACACGATAACTTTTGAAAATATCAATTATTATACTCATTCTGTTTTTTTTTTTACTCGTTTCATCTATCATGTGGGAAGCAATGGAAGGTAAATGGCTGTTTAATTTCGTTTTGGTTAGCAATAATATTTTTTTTTCGGCTTAGAAACTTTAAATTTTCGGTGTTCGAGCAGCCTTGTAATAGCCGAGTATAGTTTACTAAATACAGATTACACTTTGACTCACTCCGGGCTCGGCCACCGTCGTGAATGGGTTTCTGTATCGTTTGTTTACAGCGGCTCGTGATGAAAAATATTGGTCGCTATAGAAATATAAAATATACCATAAAATAAATTTCATGCATACTTTACCAAAGTATTTATTATAGTTTAGTATAGTAAGTATTATAATTTTTATAATCATAGATTTTCATTACAATATATTGTTTCGCCTAAAGTACGTAGGACTTATATA